GGGAAAGGAAAGAGTCAGTAGAATTAAAATGGTTTAATATACAGAAGAAAAAGAAATCATATATACAGCTGGTCCCAAGGGACATGAGTGGAGATAGGATAAGAATATAGATGGAAACTTGATCCACGCACACAGGGATAATCCCTCCTCTGATCCTGGAAGGAAGAACCATACAGACAAGATGAAATCTTAAGTAAGGAGATAAAAGTGAGGATGTGCGCATTTTTGTGGTACTATTGAAGGTGAAAACATCTGAGGAAGGGAGAGTGAGTGCTACATTTTGGAAAGAAGTGAACTTTGGAACATTTACTGAGGGAAAGAAAAGGATCATGACTAAGAATAAGTGAAAAGTTGGGTTAACTAGCTATGATTAATGTCTGGGTCAAGTTGAAAAATCATACATATATGGTAGCACCAATTTATATAATACAGTGATTCTTTTCCTGCAGTTTTCTTTATAGCCCAATTGTAGGAGGTGAGAAGGCAGATAGCGAGTTGATCTAGGGTCCTAGTTTGTGAGGCAGGTGCTTTGGACATAAAAGAGAGCAAGAGTTGGTATTCAAGTTGTGGCAATGATTAACCATGAAGTCTAGGCTGAATAGTGAAGTCAATGAAGCCAAGAGGGGACAGATAGAGAAATAAGTGGAAAGACTGAGAATAGATGGTTCCTTGAGGTGGAAGAACAAGTTGCTGTGAAAGCTGGAAGATGTTGGTCTGGACTGATTCCAGATGATAAGTTAAGGGTATGGATGCATAAAGCGGAATGTTGGGATAGTAAAGACGCCTTAGAGTAGGGTTAGATGGGTCATTTGCATTGATTCTTGGGTCATTGAGGATATTCGTAGGGTGTGTGGTAGAGAGGAAAATTGTGACCCAGATATTAAAGTCTTGTTTTTTCCTTGATAGCTCCTAAGTTAGCCACCAATCCATTGTAGTATTCACAGAGTTTGCTAAATCCTAATTGAAGATCTACTGCTAAGAGTTTGCTGATCCCTGATATAAATGTTCCCTTGGTGTGTTGTAATAATTTAATTACTTCCCTAAGCACCTGACCTAACACTAACACAAGACTTAGGAACAGGAAAGAAGAGAATTTGGTAACTGTTCCCATTAGTATTGCTCCATAACAAACTATAGTAGTCCCCCCTTATGTGCAGTTTTGCTTTCCATGGTTTCAGTTACCCAGGGTCAACCGCAATAGGAAAATATTAGATGGAAAATTCTAGAAATAAACAATTCACAAATTTTAAATTGCATGCCGTTCTGAGTAGCATGATGAAATCTCTCACTGTCCCACCCAGGATGTGAATCATCCCTTGTCCAGAGTACCCACGCTATATACACTACCCGCCCATCAGTCACTTATTAGCCATCTTGGTTATCAGATTGACTGTTGCAGTATTACAGTGCTTGTGTTCAAGTAACCCTTATTTTACTTGGTAATGGCCCCAAAACACAAGAATAGTGATGTTGGCAATTTGTATATTCCAGAGTCTTGCTTTAAGTAAAAAGGTGAAGGTTCTTGACTTGAGAAGGAAAGAAAATCATAAGGAAAGAAAAGAAATTGTCTGCTGAGGTTTCCAAGACCTACAGTAACTTTTATGCACATATATTGTTATAATTGTTCTATTTTATTATTAGTTATTGTTGTTAATCTCTTACTGTGTCTAATTTATAAATTAAACTTTATCATAGGTAGGTATGTATAGGAAAAAACAGTATATATAGGGTTCGGTACTATTCACGGTTTCAGGTCTCCACTGGGGGTCTTAGAACATATCCCCCATGGATAAGGGGAGACTATTGTACCCAAAAACTTTCTGACATAAAACAACCATTTCCTTAAGTTTAAGATTCTGAAGGTCAGGAATTCAGAGAGGGCTCTATGGTTCTGGGGCCTCAGCCGAAGAAACTCAATGGCCAGGGGTGACTGGACAGTTGAGGCTGGGATTATCAGGAGCTATCTTATTTCACATACCTAGTGGTTGATGCTGACTGTCAGCTGGGACCTCAGCTGGAGCTGTCAGTTGGAACACCTACCAGTGGCCTCTCTTGCTTGAGCTCCCTCACACCACAGTAGCCTCAAGGTGGTAGACTTTTTACATACTGTTTTGAGGCTCCAAAGGTGAGTGTTCCAAGAGAACCATGTGGATACTGTATAGCCTTTTCTGACCTAGCTTTAGGAGTTACATAATATCATTTGTGCTATATTCTACCAGTGACAAGTGAGTCCCTTAGTTCATCCCAAATTGAAAAGAAGGGGACACAGTACTCACCCGTCAATTGGAGAAGTGTCCAAAAATTTGCAAACAAGTTTTAGAACTTCTAAGTAGCATTCATGGGCATTACTTAACTCTACTCCCAAGTCTAATGCTAAATGTTTGCTGAGCCCTGTTATAAATGTTGCTTAATTCCAATTATATTTTGTTCTGGAAAAGGAAAAACTACAGAGAAAGTAAAATGATCTGGCATTGGGGAGGGAGGGATGAATAGATGGAGCACAGAGAACTTTAGGGCAGTGAGAATATACTGTATGATGCTAGAATGGTGGACACGTGTCATTACAATTTTGTTCAAACCTATATACTATATAGTACCAAGAGTGAGCTCTAATGTAAACTATGGACTTTGGGTGATTATGATGTCAGTGTAAGTTCATCAGTTGTAACAAATGTACCATCGTGATGGGGGATGTTGACAATGAGGGAGGCTATGCATATGTGAGTGCAGGCGGTACATGGGAAATCTCTGTACCTTCCTTTCAATTTTGCTGTGAACCTAAAACTGCTCTAAAAATATAAAGTCTTAAAAAAACTAAACTATAATAGAAGTTCTACACAAATTAAATTTTAAAAAGACAAATTCTTCCTCCATTTAGTGTCTTTATTATATTTGAGATTTCCTAATTTTCTAGTCAGTGCTTGAATGTTCTCACCCTCATAAAGTGTTTTTGGGTACATATCAGTAATTCTTTTCGTAACTGAAAAACCATCAATTACATGCTGTACAGATTCATAAAAACCACCAGTAAAACCACAATTCTTCATAGGAAAAACTGCACATCCAGAGTTTCTTTCAACAAAAGTAGCAGTAAACAATACAGACTCATTTTTCCCACTCTTTTTCAGGGCGTGTGACCTCTTGGCATGTTGCAAGCTTATGTTATTTCAGTTGTCCTAGTAATTCCTTGTGTTTGTTTAAGAATTGCCTAATGTTTATCACTAAGTATAGGTTACTGTGTTGAGTGAATATGCTTTATTTTTATGCTGGTGTAACTTAAAAATAGAACAAGTAACTAAAAAATAATGGTTTGAAGCAAAAGTCCATTAAACATAGGATATGATTTTGCAGTGGTATTTGCATTTTTTGGGAGAATTGAATCAACTACTAACTCATTTATTTCATAAAAATATCCAATTAGAACATAAAATGTCCATCATATTCTGATGTTTGCAAGTGACCAGTGAGTTCAGTGAAGACAATGGGTTATGGGTGTACTTACTAGAATCAGAGAGTTCTGGGTTATAATGTTAACGTCACTGCTTGCTAGCTCCCCTATTTTGGGTAATTACTCTGAGCCTCAGTTCCCTTTTATGTAAAATTGAGTTGTTTATAGCAAGCTCATCTTTCTACCAGAAAACAACTACAAAATATGGATAAAATACAAAAAAAAGATAGCCATACACATCAGAGAAAAACCAAGACAGTCAGGACTTGAGGGGTAAAGATCCTGAAGCAAAGGGAAATACATTGAAGTGAGCCCCACATTCTCTATGGCTTTTTTCTCGAGATATTTGCTCATTTGTTGGCATTGTAGGGCCTGGAGTCTAAGCAGACAATGGCAGCTAAGCATCCCCACCCTCAGCGATTGATGCAAAGATTGTAAAGACAAGGTATGTAAACAGCACAGAGTCTAGAATGTGGTAACTACTCAATACGTATGTAAAAGGACTGAAACAAACATGATAAAGGGTCTCCTGTTCTCCCACTGCCTTCTTTCTTTGTCCCCCCACTTTCTTGCATGTTTGCTCTCTAACTCCCTCACCCCATGAACTTTGACTTGCTGATAAACCACAAGGCTTCCAAAAAAAAACAGTTCTTGGAAAATGCTGTTCTGATGGGTATTGTGATTGTCCCACGGCCATAAGGATGTATGACATGGAGCATCTTTTCATATGTTTATTTTACATCTGTATATCTTCTTTGGTGAGGTGTTAGGGTTTAGTTTTAATAATGACTCTTTGTTAAGGGACTCTTATACACCTGACAATATCTCTTTCAATACTTTCAGCAATCTTCTAGTTAGGTATTATTATAACCTAATATTAAGACAGTTATAGTTCATAGATATGGGTTTTATGCCACTTAGTGGCTTATGACTGGACATGTTACTTAGGCTCTCTATCTAATGCTCCAGCTTCCTCATCATTAAGATGAAGATAATGATAACACCTGCTTCAAAGGATTTCTTTTAAAGCTAAATATGATGTGTGTAATGTACACACTGGTATTGTTACATAATAAACATTCAACAAGCATTATTATGATGATTATTAAATATGAGGTATTGAGGCTTTGAAAAGTCAATAATAACCCAATTACACACAGCTTGAATGTGTCAGAATTGCAAATCAAACACTCACTCTCTGATTCCGGGGTTTGTGAACTTAATTGCTATATTGTATCTTTCTCAAAGTCTGTGGGCTATATCTCCACAAGGAACAAATCCAGAGTTTTGGACAGAGCCAACAAGGATACCAAATTTGGGTAGTGGGTTAAATGGTGGCCCCAAAAGATATGTCCATTTCATAATTCCCAGAACTATGAATGTTACCTTATTTGGAAAAGGGGTCTTTGCAGATATAATTAAATTAAGGATCTTAAGATTAGGAGATCATCCAAGATTATCCCAAAATCCAATGACAAATGTCATCATAAGAGTGATGCAGAGGGAGATTTCACACACACACACAAAGGAGAAAGCCATGTGATGACAGAAGCAGAGATTGGAGTGATGGGGCCACAAGCCAAGTAATGCTGACAGCCACCAGAATCTGGAAGATACAAGAAACAGAATATTTTCTAGAAGCCTCTGGAGGGAACATGACCCTAGCAACATTTGATTTCAGATTTCTGGACTATAGAACTATGAAAGAATAAATTTCTGGTAATTTGTTATGACAACCCTAGGAAACTAATACATCTTTTTTCAAGATTGATGTAAATTTAAATTTAAAAATCATTTATTAATTACCTCAAGTCCCACTTCTTCCATAATCTCATCTAATAAAACTAATATATATCAGGCTTGTTTTCCTCCAACTCCTTTTTTGATGTAACTAGTATCAATGTACATGTTCCTTGATGTTTAGCTATGTGCATCACATAATTTGGCATTCAATCTTATCTCCTCATTTCGTCATAGTTAACTTTGTCTCTCTAACTGGGATGCAGGTTCCCCTGAGCTGGAACTATCTAGTAGTTTGTTTACAGCACATTATATCATATCATGAAGGTGGGTCCCATCAGCCCTCCAAAACACCTATCTTTGATTGACTAATTGTGATTGATCAAATAAATGATAGACTAAGTTCCATAAATATAAAAACAATGGGATACGCAGGAAGCAGTAGAGACTTCAAAGTCAAACAGACCTGAGTTTCAATCTTGTTTCAGCCATTTACTAACTTTGTGACCTGGTGTGAGTTACTTACATGCTGAATTGCAATTTCCTCATCTGTAAGCAATGATAACACTTACTTTCCAACCTTGTTGAAGGGAATTGCAACAATGTCATGTGTATCTACACATGGTTGTTCTTTTCTTCCCAGAATACATTCACACCTTCTTGTGATAGTAGTACCTAATTTTGTCCCATTAGGTAAGGTCCCCATGTAATGATAGTCAAGGTGCCATCTGCTTCTGATCAATGGATGGTCAAGTAACCGAAGCTAGGCTGTCAGACTTCCTTCTTGGAATTTGAATCGCAGAACCAGTGATAATTAATCCTGAAAACAAGGTTCAAAATGACACCCTAATGCATGAGCCCTGAGATAATTCATCATTTCCTGTGACCTAGAAGACAGGAACTTCCTAAATGACAGAAGCTTCATTGGTGCCTGTCCTTTCTAATACCTGGTTCTTTAGCTTTTTCTTTGATCCTAGGATTTCTTTCATAGGACTGAATTTCCTATAAGATTTTTTGTGGCTTATGTTTACCAGAAGAGTCAGTTTTTTTGCTTTTAACCAAAGATTCCTGAACGAGACATGTTTGTTCAGCTACTGGGACATTGTAGGAACCCAATAAATTGGAGCAATTATTATTGTTAGTGGTGTATTCCATGTAGAACACAGAGTCACATACAAAATAGACTGGCTGGTATAATTTGCAGTTGGTATTTCCTTCTTCTCTGTCCCTACTGGGGGTGATTTTGTGTTCCAAGGGACAATTGGCAAATGTCTGGAGACATTTGGGGTTGTCACAGCCAAAGAGCTGCTATGTAGGCATCTAGTGGGTAGAGGCCAGGGTGCTGCTGAACATCCTACAATGCAGAGGATAGGGCCTACCGCAAAAAATTATCTGGTTTAAAATGTCAGGAGGGCTAAGACAGAAACGTTGCTTTAGAGGCAGCAGGACAGCATACTGTAATTTCCAAGGAGTAAGTGGTATTATTTAGAGCAATTAATACCTGTGTTTAGAATCAATTAATTTACTCCTGGAGGCGAAAAAATGAATCAAGACAGCGATTGCCACAAAAGTTATAAATATTTTAAATTCTTTCTCAGCAATGTGCCCACCAATATCAGATCAATGTGCCTAAGCCATTTGTTGTCTTGGGTCTTTGATTTCTTGAAACGTTACATTAATCAGCAGTGTCCTTCCTCTTTTCCTTAGCTCTCACTCTGTCCTCAATTTCTTTGATTGAAGAAACCTCTCATCGTTGAATGTGCTACCACATCTCTAATGAGTCTCTGGCATCAATTGTTCTCCCTTTGGGAAATGACCTAATCAGCAAAATCAGTATATATACATAAAACCCCCCCCAAAAGGGGAGGGGATTTAGGAAAAGTCAGTTAGAGTCTCAGCCAACCAAATGATCTTTTACAATCCAAGTAATCTGTTCCCTATTTTCCTTTCTTTGTAACTATATTGCCCATAGGCAATACATGGTTTTGATAATGATGAGGGTAATGAGATGAACTTGGAGACGGGTTACAAAGTGAAGAAATAGTCAGAGAAAAATATAAGACCTTCACTTTGGAAGGGATTGATTTGGCTTGTATAATAAAGGAGCTTAATTCACTCAGCTGGTGATTGGTAACCAAAGGACCTTTATTAAAGATGAGCCTCAGGCACAAACTTCAGTTCCTGCAGTGGAGAGAAAAAGCTTTATATTTTGGGTCCTCTTGCTTGAGGATTTTTTTTTTTTTTTGTAATTACTGTGTTATCTGGCAAACTATAGTGATCTACAATTTACATGATTAAGAAGTCCTTTAAGGGCTGTCCCTAGGGGGTTTCACAAAACTCTGCCAGTTTTAAATGAGCCACTCAATAGAGAAATACCAAATGAAATGGCAGGATAAAAATAGCTTTAAATAATATCCCAAAGCCAGGGACATCTCCCACTGAATATTTTCAATACTGGGATGCTTGCTACCTTGATTCTTTTTTTTTTTTAAAGATTTTATTTATTTTATTTTTTTCCCCCCAAAGCCCCAGTAGATAGTTGTATGTCATAGCTGCACATACTTCTAGTTGCTGTATGTGGGACTCGGCCTCAGGATGGACGGAGAAGTGGTGCCTCAATGCGCACCCGAGATCCGAACCCGGGCCACCAGCATTGCAGCGCGCACACTTAACCACCAAGCCACAGGGCCGGCCCTACCTTGATTCTTTTTAAAGCACAACTATAAACTCATTTTAATTCTCCCAAACAAAGTCCAGACTTGCGAAATGTTTGGTTATTTTCTGAGCTAACTATACCCAAATGAAAATTTATTTTAACCAAAATGATCTTTCCCTTCATAATGCTCTGTCACAAATTCAAGAATGTAAGAAAGCAGTCCCACATTTTCTGTCACTGTTAATAAGAATAGACAATGAGAAAAGAACATTTTCTGGAAATTAAACTTCATTAGAGCTACTTAAGCTGCAGTAATGTGGAGTTTATCAACGTAGTTCTCCATCCCTGTGAAGAAGAAACAGCTAGAACATTTGTCAGCATGTGGTCTTCTCAAAAAGACGGAAAGAGGAGGGTAGGGCTAACTCATTATTGCTTCTAACTGCCACTCACCTGTTGTGTGATCTTGGGAAGCAACTAAGGCTCTCTGAACCTCAGTTTCCTCATCTATAAAATGGGAATAATAATATATTAAATAATAATGCCTATCTTGTTTTCAGTCTATGGTTGTTGCTAAGTTTAAAAAGGAATGTAATGTTTGTGAAAACACCTGTAAAAGCTGTACCAAGATAAATTTTTGTAAATATTAATAGCCATGGGTGAAAAGAGGGCATATCTAGATGCGTGTTAATTCATCTATTTTCACTGAGTCATATTTCAGTTACTGTAGTCCAATTATTCTCCCATGAGAATTAAATCAATTTAGTCATTGTTTTGTGCATGTACAGATTGAACAACCAGATTACCACTGGCATGCTATCATTTTCACTGGTTGCTTTCCACTATATCATGAATTTGGGAATCAAAAATTCTAGGGTTAAATCCCAAATCTGTCACCTACCAGATACAGACATGACATAAATCAATTAAGCCTTCATTTCCTCATATGTTCATGATATTTAAATGTACAGAGTTCTGTGAGGAGGATCAAATGATGTAAAGAATGTAAAGTGCTAGCATAATAGTGAACACTGAATTCATGTTAGGGTTTTGCAGAGAAACTGCCAATATACTCAGACTTATTTCTAATTCTATTTTCTTCAACTTCCCAGTGCAGAGATAGTCCAAATGCCATAATGTTATGAATGGGCAATAAGAAAACAATGGATAATATTGATCAGTCTTGTGGCTACTAAAAAGAAAATATCAATCAATATATAAACTTGCTTGCGGGCCGGCCCTGTGGCTTAGCAGTTAAGTGTGTGCGCTTTGATGCTGGCGGCCCGGGTTCGATCCTGGGCGCGCACCGAAGCACCGCTTCTCCAGCCATGCTGAGGCCGTGTCCCACATACAGCAACTAGAAGGATGTGCAGCTATGACATACAACTATCTACTGGGGCTTTGGGGCAAAAAATAAATAAATAAATAAATAATTAAAAAAAAAAGAAAAACTTGCTTGCTAAACTCTAGTATTTGTCCTGATTGATTGCTTTCCATTTAAAATTCCTGGCCTACCAACATCCTGATTCTACTACCAGAACCCACAGTTAATTGAGCTTATAATAATAGCAAGCAACTACCAAAAAATTACTTCTTGATTAAAAAAAACAATGCCACAAATGCCCACCACAGTTGAACATATCCAAGCATTGTTCCCTGATACTTTACAAAATCAGACTAAACATAACAGCTGAGGCTCAAGAAACCCACTTTCTCCATGGAAAGATCTATTTTGGTGGAGTTTGGGGTTCTACTGCACAATGCTTGGCTTTGTTTTACTAACCACATGCTGTCTGTTGCCATCCTCTCTCTTGAGTCCACCCGCAGACACTGGAATGCTTCCATTAATGGTAAACCACCAGCATCGACGCAAGCACAGCAATAATTCCGTGGCCGGCCTGCATCTTAGGACTCTAAAGAGAAGAAATCAATAGGTCTTCAAAAAGTAATTTTTTCACAGATAAGGTTTTAACCACCAATGACATGTCTACATTGGCCATGAAAGCAAGAAGACTGAGCAAAACTCTTTTTTTCCACCTCTACATATTGTGACCAAATTAATGTTAAAGGCAAAAAAAAAAAAAAAATGTTGGTGATCTTTATTTTTTTGTCACAGGATAGATAGCAAGATGACATTGATAACATCTGGGTAACATTTGGGATGTTTAATTTCTCAAATGATTTCAGAACAATCGTCCCCATAATGCATAGAAACCTGGTCATGTTTACTACACCTGACACGCAGATAAACTTGCCAACTATCT